TGCCTTGGGCACAAAAAGAAAACGATTCTGAGCAACTGTCTCTACCCATACATTGTACCCGGCATATGAAAGCTTTATCTCCATAGCAACTTCATTACAGCATCCGCTACTGTAGTGTATCACAAGAAGGTATAAATCTTTCAATCTTTTAATAGAAGTGGTTTCACCTATTGCTGAAGTTCCATGGTTTGATCACACTTAATGTGGATCACGCCATCCAATTACAATTAAAAAATCTTGAGATTATTGCAGAAATATAACACGCTAATGAAAACAAAACCTATAATCAGAGCAAAACTGATAGAAAGCTGTCCCAGAGAGTAAATTATTGAAACCATTCTACCTTTTTCTTAGCACTCTGGGGGCGCGATCAGCTTGAGAAGAACTTCTTAGCAGATTCATCTGGTTTTATATGACCTATACAACAAGCAGCAGGATTCATACAAAAGCAGCGAGACAAGCCCAGTTGCATATATGCATGCGTTTACTTCATTTGCATCCCAACCCCCACTATTTTTACACACATATACAATCACAGATACATGCTAGCTGTTCCGACAGCCATGCTGCAGTCCCACGGGGGTAGCAGCCTGCACTGTTATCCTCCAGCTAACTGCCTAGCTGCTCCGTTTTTCTCTCTCTCTCCTTCAGTACCACCCACACACTGAACAGCCTGGCTCGCCCTCTGTCCTCCCAGCTTATATATGGAGCTCTGTCTACTTCTATATCTTTACCATCAGCTCTGAGGGGGAGGATAAAGCTTTGCACCATGACAGCCCATATGTAGCTCATTTCACTTGCCGCGATGCCACACTTTATTGTACACAGCGGCTCTTTTTGGCTGCAGGATGCGATGCGATCCCTTCACTTTTCTTCTTATTACACTGGACTCCGCAAACGCTCATTCATCTGCCAGCACTGCTCCTTTGGATGCAGTCTTGGTGAAAACTCCTCTGGCATTCACACATAGGAACATCACCACTTGAGATAGCGAAAATTAATGATAGCTTAAAATCCAATTTTCTTCCCTTGTGTGCTCCCTCTCCATTTACACAGATCAGAAGATGGGAGAGAGAGATCCTGACTTCAGTTACCTGAGACTGGCAGAAGTAATTACAGCATTCATCACAATCCTGAGGTACTGTGCACGGTGCACAGACACACACTTCCTCTTTTATTGTGTGTGTGAGCAAGACAGAAGTATAATCTTAAAGCTAGTCATTTGGCTACTTGTGAGAAGTTGGTATGTGAACACAGTTTGGGCACTTTTCCCACAGAAATCCAAGCATTCGTTAGAGTGGGTCCGAGTATTGAACTGTGAACTACTACAACAGGCTGGCTTCTCGGCGCATAGCCAATGATTGATGTGTGAGAGATACCCATCCCCCCACCGCTACGGTTCTGTCTGTACATCTGTCTCTCCTTGCTCCCCCCCCGCCGCCACCATCACCACAACCCACCCTCCTCGCTCCCTCAGTCTCTAGCACTGCGATGTTATCTCTGAGTCTGTGTGTCTGTAGGCAGGAGGTGACGCAGTGTCTGACTGAATCCAGACAAAGAGACAAACTCATCAGCCAAGAGACACACACAAGAGGGAGAGGGCTGGTTGGGGGGGGGGGCAGGCCGGGGGTGGTAGGGTGACGGAGGGGTAGCGCGCAAAACAAAACAGACAAAAGACAGAATGCCAAAACTCTACTCAAACACAGAGCAACGGGGGTCCTGTTGAATTCAAAGGCCCCTCCTTCTCCTTTTCAGCAGCCATCCCCTCCAAAAACGCACACATGCAGACACACAACACTGTCTGAATCTGCAGAAGTACTGGGGTCCCCCCCTCTTACGTCCACAGACTTTCTGGAGAACAAGGACGGTGGGCCAGACATCGGATCAGTTCTCACCACGAATAACCTACATGTTTAGATTAGGATTTTGCTTCAACTACAAGACTGACAAACACCTTGTAGCCACACGAGACTCAAAGTTGGATTCATAACAGCCCCCCCACCTGAGAACTCAATTTCATAGTTGGATCAACAATACATATATAATGTGAAATATTCTGAAATAACACCTTATTTGTTATAATTAATACTAATAAAGGTTTTCAGAACTTCTACATTTAGGTACAGAAAAATTATGAAACCAAAGCCTCACATATACTGTTACACAAATATACTGTACTTCCCTGACATGCATCCTCGAGGGTATGCACCACCACCTCCAAACAAAATACTTTTATGTAATGCATAAAAATCTTGAGTATTGTTGTACATCAAACTTAACAGCTAGACAGACACCGCTGTTGTATCATTGTCTGGAATTCCCT